CCCCCGCAAAAAAAAAAAAAAAACAGATAACAACACCAGCGATGATAATTATTGCTGTTACGAAGGCCCCTACATTGAGTTTTGGGGGTCTTTTCGCTTCACTCTAAACCCTAAACCCTAGCTAACCCCCGGGCCCCTCATTATGCTATAGTTATAATACAGAACCCACCAAAATAGTATTGGCATTCAATTATTTAGGCCCCGCATTATTGTTCCTTAGGGTAGCTCATCATAGTTAGAGAATAACATCCTGAAAGACTGGGTAATCAGGGGTCTACATCATCGTGCGACACTGACTAGGAAGATTCTCTGACGAAGAAGGGTTGGCTCGTGACTCCTAGGCCGTATAGCCCCAAAACGCCTCAGACCGATGCAGCAGAGAAAGCCTATGAGAAGGCTTCGGGCGTAGGCAGTTGGCTCCGGGGTTAAGGCTTCAGGGTCTAGGGCCATAGTCAGGCCATAGTCCAAACTCTGCGATTCCTAGACATTGAAATTCCATGATATAAAACCCAGACCAAGCAACATATGGCCCTGAATCACTGGTATGCAGCTTGATACCAAGGCTCCCAGTTTATTCATGTGCAGAGCATAGCGGAAAACCCGCAACGCCCCCTAAACCCAAAGCCCTGAATCGCTCTAAGCCTTCAGCTCCCAAGCCCTACTAAACCCATATTATGTAGGGGCCTTCATAATTAGAAGAGGGTTTTTGAAGTATATTATATTATACTATGACTATAATAAGGAACCCCCAAAAATAGTACAGCCAATTATTGAGGCACCTATATTATCCGATTCTGAAGGCCGGGCGTTTGCGCTCCACTGGCCGATCCATCCAAATGATATCCTCCATCCCCAGGGACTCCAATACCCTTTAATTAAGGAATATAACTTAAATTATAGTAGGATCCCTAATATGATTTAAGGTATATTCCTTAATTAAGGGGTATTGGAGTCTCTGGGTCAGCGGTGCTTTCGAGTTTCGGGTGGAGGAGCTTCTCGGGTCCTAAGTTAAAGGTGCCTCAATGATTAGGGTTTAGGGTTTAGGGTTTAGGGTTTTGGGGGTTCCATAAAGGGCTCTACAAAAAAGTGAGCTCTTTCGGATTCTATGAAGCGGCCATAATAATTAGAATAGGGTTTGGGGGTATATTCCACTATACTATAACAAAGAAACCCCAAAGCAGTATTGATAACTATTTAGGCCCCTAAAGGAAAGAGTCCACATAAACTACTATTTATGGAATTAGGTCCCCCAAAACCACAATAAGGATGGTCTTTTCGGACCTAATTCCAGAATAGCAGTACGTACACATATGGACCTTCTTGGTGTTAGTGCCCTTCTAGCAACCCATACAGGGTAGCGACTTTTGTATCCTCCCATCTATGCTCAGTTCTCTAAATTGGGGTCCCCTTTTTAGGGTCCTGTTTATAAGAATACCATGCACTTAAGGAGAGGCCCTAATTTGGAGAACTACCCATGTAGCACCCTTATTATATGGGTCCTACAGAAACCCCTTCTAGATCCCTCGAGGAAGGAGCACCTTAATTTAGAGAACTACCCATCTGGTGTCCTTGATTCATAAAAAAACAGGGGCCTTAATAATTACCTATATCGTTTTGGGGTTTATTGTATCTCTGCTATGATTTACCCCAAAGCCCCTATCCTAATTATTAGGGCGCCTACGTTAAAGGAACTCCGGGCTGGGCCCCAAGGCTTCATGGACTTGAAGTACTCGGTCTCTTTAAGGTTTAGGGGTTCGGGTTTAGGGTTTAGGGGTTCGGGGTTTAGGGTTGGGGGCTCTTTGGGGGCTTTAGGGCTTTAGGTCTCAGGGTCGAGGGCTCAAGGCTTTCGATGTTGGGGGTAAAAAGTCCGGGTTTAGGGATTCAGGGTTAGGGGATGGAGGGTGTAGGGCTGAAGGGTCAGGGTTGGGAATTTATGGCAAATCCCTAAACCCTAAACCCTAAACCCTAAACCCTAAACCCTAAACCCTAAACCCTTTTGAACTACCACAGAAGTTCCAACCCCTAGAACCCTAGAGTCCTACCCAAACCCTCACAGGTAGGTCAAAGGTTTAGGGTTTAGGGTTTAGGGTTTAGGGTTTAGGGTTTAGGGTTTAGGGTTTAGGGTAGGTCAAAATAATGAACCCTACAAAACGGCTATTATTCTACATACTTTCGGGGTCCGGGTAAAGCTCCACCGCCCTAGGCTAGGCCGCAAAGCCACAAGAAACGCTGCAAGAAGCCCCAAAGCAGGGTGCATATCAGCTCGAAGAAGCCCTAAACCCTAAACCCTACACTAACCATCGGCACGCGTTTAAGTAACACGGTTTCCCTAAAGCCCCGAAGCCTAAAAACAAGCCAAGGCCTAGACCCAACTTCCGAAACCTTCTCAACCAATTGTTTTGGAATTTTCGACGGTTCAAGTTCCGGAGCATCTCTTTGTTTCGCTGGGCTTCAACATCGTATCCTTCGTCTCCCCAAAATCCCAACACCCTGCAACGCAGGACTAAAACCGTAACCCCAAAGCCTACGGCAAGAAACCATTCAAAAACGTGAGGCTCCACCCAACAAAACACACGAAAACACCAAAGTCCTAGCCCTACCCTCCCTGCCTCCTCCTGCCAACAAACAACAGAAAACAACCCTAAGCCCCCGACCCTAAACCCTAAGCCCTAAACCCTCAACCCCAAACCCTAAACCCCTAAACCCTCAACCCCAAACCCCAAACCCTAAACACTAACAAACCAAAAACTGACCCCGAGCCTCCAGAGGAATCACCTCCCATGGACTGGCTTTGAACATCTGAGGCAGATCCAGCTCGCCACCTGGCTTGGAGCCAGGGTCTAGGGCTTATAGGGTTTAGGGTTCAGGGCTTAGGCTTTATGGTTCAGGGTTTAGGGTTTAGGGTTCAGGGATTAGGTATGTTTGTTTGCCTTTTTTTTGTGCAGTGGGTGGGGGGTGAGTTGGCATTCAGGAATTTAAGGCCTTAGGGGTTTCGGGTTTCAGGGAGGGTTGCACAGTTTTGTGTTCTGTGTTGCAGCTTTGTGGATTCCGGAAGCGCGCGGATGTTAACTGGGAGCACTTCCGAGTCTCTTTGTTCCAAAGAACGGAGCCAAGAAGCTGAGAGGCTTTAGGGTTTAGGGTTTAGGGTTTAGGGTTTAGGGATGGTTCTAAAGTCTCCACCCTCAAACTCCCTTATCTTCTGTAAGCATTGCCCTAAGCACCCTGAGGGTCTGGGCCCTGCAAAGCAGTTTAAAGGTTTGCCTAGGCGCGTACCCCTCAACGTCGACCGTTTTCGGGCTACCTTATAGTTTTCCGATCATAGGATCCCGTAAAATTAAATAAGTCATCCATAAAACTACTACATGTAAGGGTCTAGGTAGACTTGTTTGGGCTTGGGGCTTAGGCCCTAAGCCCTGAACCCTAAACCTTAAACCCTAAACCCTACGCGTGCAGCCCAGGGCGCTAAGCAGAGACTGTGACATGGCGCTGGTCGGCGTGTGGTGCGTAGAATCCTCGTGCAGGGCTTCAGGGTTAATATGGGTTTAGGGCTTATAGGGTTTAGGGTTCAGGGTCTAGGGTTTAGGGTTTAGGACAGACATGCCGCGTGCAAGAGAACGCATGCAAGAGCATAAGAATACTGGAATTGAATCCCGGTTCGAGCTAGAAGCTAAGGCGAGGAAATCAAGCCCAAACCCAGAATTCCTGAGTCCTGAGGGTCAGATTCCTAGATCTATAAACTCTTTCACCTCGTGATGCTTCCCAAATCTAGAATGTGCACGGAATCATCTTCCTAGATCTGAACTCCGCAGACTTGTAGATCTTCACAGATCTACAAAGAGTTGTATGGAACCCCCTCATGTGCCCTAAACTCCTAAACCAACCCTTAAGCCTGAAACCTCTTCAGCCCAAAAGAAGCAAGACTGCACACTAAAAGAGGCCCTAAACCCCAAACCCTAAACACTAAAAGGCCCTAGACCCGAAACCGCAAACCCGAAACCCTAAAACAACCCAAACCCTAAACCCTAAACCTCCATCCGAAAAAGGATAAGTCTAACGTCTGAGTGTCAGCAGCTTTGGTGCTTCGGTGCCAGGGTTTCCGGGGAGCAGGTTTAGGGTTTAGGGTTTAGGGGTTTAGGGGTTTAGAACAACTTAGGAGCTGACTACCTTAGCCCAAAACAGGGTAACCTTTTCAGATATAGTAGGGTTATATAAGCCCCAAAGGGTTAAAGGTTACCTACTCAGCCCCTGTGTAATGAAGGCCTAAATAATTACAATACTATTTTTTATTTTTTGTGTAGTATATACCCCCAAAACCCCGGCTCAGGACTTATAAGGTGTAGGCGTCACTGCCTGCAGCCCCAGACCCTAAACCCTAAACCCCTAAAGCCCTAAAACCCCAAAGCCCTAAATCCCTAAACCCTAAATCCCTGAACCCTAAACCCTGAAGCCTTAAACCCTAAATCCCTAAACCCTAAACCTCAGCCCCTAAAACCCCTAGACCCTGAATCCAAAACCCGAGGCCCCAGCGCCCCGTTGCCGAGGGTTTAGGGGTTTAGGGGTTTGAAGTTTAAGGGTGTAGGGTTTTAGAGTTTAGGGGTGTAGGGTTTAGGGATTCAAAAGGGGTTTACGGGTTTAGGGTTTTTTCTGTTAAGCGCAGAAGGCCCTTGGTGTCTAGGGCTCAGGACACTGCCGACGTCCTTCGCCGAGGGATGCTTGTTCATCGTCTTCGGTGGATTGACCTGAGATCTTAGTTGACGGCTTAGAGGCTCCAAGGGGTCCTGAATGCGATAGTTGTCAAACTTATGGTCCCTTTTGGGGTACCCTAAATAATAGGTGCCGTATTATAAAAAGGAACCCCAAAAGGGACCATAATTACCCTAAACCCTAAACCCTAAACCATAATTTTGACAACCACCCAGTATGGAATCGGGTTTAGGGCGTGGGGAATACGGGCGACCTAGAAGGTCTAGTTTAGGGTTTAGGGTTTAGGGTTTAGGGTTTAGGGTTTAGGGGCCTTCATGATCCCTAAGGGTCCATGTACCCAAATAGTATATACATTGGCCTTAAAGTAGTCCCTACATACGTACTTTGGGGCCAATGTACATACCATATGGGTACATGGACCCTTAAGGGGACGAGAATATGAACTTTTGTGGTATAGTACGTTGTGCTGAATTGAAATAACCCTAAACCCTGCACCCCTAAAGCCCAAAACCCCTAAACCCGAAACACTAAAGTGACGATTCTTAGCAACTACTCCGACTCCTAGGTGGCTGTTCGTGGAGGCGATTCGAAATCACAAGTATGGGTCGTTTTCCCACGTCCCTACCAGACCCATGTGAAACGGGGGCCTTAAAGCTTACAATAAAGTTTTGGGGTCGACTACAACGGTCGAATGATATTAAATTATTCACCACGGAAACGTCTATAGTAAACAACAGAGTTCAGAAGTGGCCGGGCTTGGTGATTTTGGGTTTGGGGGTTTTGCGGCTGGGATTTCCGTTCAGGATATAGGGTTTCCGGCTTTCGTTTGGGACGTGGAGCTTCACAGAGCACACAGCGGAATCGCTAGGGAACACGAATCAATCGGCCCTACAAACATTTTTGTTGTGGGCGCTTGTCCACAAATCCGGAAAGAACGCAGACAACATGTTGAGGGTTTAGGCTTTAGAGTTCAGGCTTTAGGGGTTTAGGGCTTAGGGTTCAGGCTTTATTTTGGGGGTTTAGAGTTCAGGCTACACAGTTCCCTCCCAGCGTCCCATTTTTTCTCCGCAGGCATCGAAGCTCAGTCTAAGTGGCTGCCAGCCCTCGTCGAGCGGATGCCGAAAATTGGTAATATAGGGGCCTTAATAATGAGAATAGGGTTTTGGGGCCCGTTATACTATACTTCAAATAAGGAACCCCACAAAATAGTATAGGTAATTATTTAGGCCCCTACATTACTGCTTGCGTTGGACCCTCCTTCTGCGAGCATAAAGGGCCAGAAGGCTCTAATGTAGGAACCTTAACAATTAGATTAGGGTTTTGGGGTATGTTCTCTTTTTTTTTGAGAAGAAAACCCCAAAATAGTATTGGATCTAAAGTCTATGTTTTGGGGCCGGCTTGGGTCAAGACATTCGGCACAGTTTCTAAAGAAACGCTGCACCAAGTGCCTCACGGAACCATCCTGCTTCAGGGAGGGAGCCATTTGCCACAGGACCGGTTCGCACAGTCCAGACACGCGGCAAAAATGTACACAAAGCCCCACTACAAAGCTTCTGAATGGTGGCAAGCCGACTACTGGCCCTCAAGGCCACAGAACATAGACCATTCTCTCTTCTGTTCCTTCACAAGCCATGGCCACATAGCATGGGGAGCTTGCACATTCACGGAAGCCGTCCGATCTCAGAGGCGGCTGCGGGGAGGCGGCTGTGTCTGAGGAGTTTCCCTCACTTCGGGATCCTCTCCCCTTGGCAAAGATCCGGGGGGCGCACAAAGTGGTAGGGCGTGCCAGAGAAAGGGCTCCCCTACGAAGCTTCTGGGGCTGAAAATGCTCCGGCTTCTTCCACGTCTCTCTACGAAGTCTGTCGCGAAATGCAGGTTGTCAGGCCAGTCGGTGGAGAAGACGCCTCCGAGCCATCCATCCGGAGCGAACAACATAACTCTAAACTTTAAACCCTAAACCCTAAACATCAGAGAGAGAGGCTGCTGAAACCGAAAAGGATCGTAGGTCCCACCCAGCATTGACAAGACTCTGAGTCTCACTATACTGCGGATAAGCCGTGGCCACAGCAAAAAAAACGGGCTGTAATTTAATTAGAATAGGGTTTTGGGGTCAACTATACTGTAATTCTAATAAGGAACCCTCAAAAACATAGTATAGGCAACTATTTCGGCCCCTGTAGTAACCCTGTACATATCAGGGTTCGGATGCTGTCCTTGGGCCAGTCTCGTGTGAGCACGCGCAGGTTACATCACCGTTTCTTATATCATGTTTAGGGTTTAGGACTTAGTTTAGGGGTTTAGGGTTTAGGGCTTAAGGTTTAGGGGTTTAGGGTTTAGGGCTTAGGCTTTGGTGTGTGGTCCAAGCACCCATATAGTATACACTTGGGCGGCATTGTACGAGTTCCTGCTGCTTAAGTACTGCAAGGCCAAAGTATGTACTCTATGCGGAAAACTGCCCAGTTTCCTCACGCAGACCAGTGCGCGGGGGAACACAAAGGAAGCGAGCTCATTCTCAAAATCAGGGACGGCATAAGAGGGAAACGAACCTAAACATCACCTAAAGAGCTCACATAGGAAAGACAATAACATGCTTCGAAACCTGGTTTTGTCTGGGATAATTAATCTTGTCTGCGAGACCTATGCGAGACGCGGAATGCTTCGACATGCAGCCCTCTACTGCCACAGTACGCGCTCCGTTGGGCTACGGCTGTCTTGTTGCATGTGGATGTTCATATTCTCTACCGTGCTGCCCCTGCATGTGTATATATATATATATATGTGTGTGCGGACAGGTAGATAAGCGCGACATTAACGGTACTGGGAGTTGGAGAGATATGAATATGCATGCATGCAAATGCAGACAGCCAGATGGGCAGACAGAAAGACAAACCAACGGACGTACGGACGGCAGGACGGTCTGACGGCCCGACGGACGGACGGACGGACGGACGGACGAAAAAGACATACAAACACACAGTATATACATGCATACATCCATCCTTCCATCCGTACATGCTACAAACATGCATGCTTGCAGACCGACCTGCATGGATAGCAGAGACAGCAGATACTACGACCTACAGACATGGACTCATACATACATACATACATACATACATACATACATACATACATACATACAGACAGACAGACAGAGAGACAGACATACATACATGCATACATCTAAACATACATACATACATACATACATACATACATACATACTTACATACATACATACTTACATACCAGCACTGCCTCGTTTTGCTTTCCCCGCAATTCGCCTGTTTGTTGCTCTCTTGATTCTCATCATCCAGGTACACGTAGACACAGACACATGGGGGTTTCCGAAAATAGAGGATAGTACCCCCAACTAGTAGGATCCTTATTATAAGGACCCCAAAATAAGGTACCCCTTATTTCCGGAAACTCCCACATGGGGCCCAACCAGCCTAAGACCTGCAGCACACACGCGCAGATGTGCCTACACTGGAAGCGTATTTATAAAGTACACAGACGTGCAGACCTGGAAACAGCGAGAGGGAGAGGGAGAGAGAGAGAGAGAGCATGGAGAGAGCTAGAAAGAGAGAGAGAGAGTGAGAGGAAAAAACAACAAGCAGACGTGGTCACAGACTCGGATGCAAGTGCATAAGCACATCCGTCCATGTTTGTGTGTATGGGGCCGGCAGGACTACCGTGACAATGCAACTGCCACAAAAAGAAGCCAACACAAACAGTTGATCTTGCAACTTCATCAAAGCTGCATTCAGAATCCAGAACGAAGCCCATGTAAATCCAAAACCCAACAGCCAAATTCTCAACCCCCAAAATCCCTAATTCCTAAATCTCTGCCCCTAATCCTATACTGAACTTAGACCCCTAACCAAAACTATAATTTTAGCTGCTTCTTACGGTTTATAGTAGCCAAAGATTAAAAATTATTTCTAAGTACCCCTAAGAATCCCCGGAAGCCGTAAGTCCTAAACCTCTGCGTCGAAGGTGCCAACCCACCATGGTGCCATGAGCTCTCGCCGCTGCCGAAGCCACCTTTGTCCTGCGCCCCACCTAAACCTTGTTCATGGTTGGGGTAGTATAAAACATAAACATTTATATTCCTTATTGGGTTTAAGTACCCTTAAAAATGTAAAATGTTACCCAACTATGACAAAGAAACCCCTAACCCCTCACACCCCATAAGCCCCAAAAGCCCCTATAGGTCCTAGAATCCTAAACTCCTCAATCCTAAAACCCCTAAGCCCCAAAAAACTCCTATAGGTCCTAGAATCCTAAACTTATAAATCCTAAAACCCCTAAGCCCTAAAAACTCCTATAGGTCCTAGAATCCTAAACTCCTCAATCCTAAAACCCCGAAGCCCTAAAAAGTCCTGTAGGTCCCAAACTCCTAATCTCCTAGATCCTAAAACCTCTATGCCCTAAAACCCCTATAGGTCGCAAAATCTAAGTTCCTAAAGCCTAAAACCCCCAAAACCTTAAACCCCTGCGGGTCCTAGAATCCTGAACTCCTACATCCTAAAACCCCCAAAACTCTAGGCCCTATACCCCAAACCCCTAAAACACCCTATAGGTCCAAACATCCCAAACTCCTAAATCCTAATTAAACCCTATAAGGCCTGAAACCCCTAAGATAAGCCCTAACCCTCGAGCAAAGACCCCGCTCCACCTTGGAGCGGTCGTAGACCATACCTGAGGCGCAGTGGCTTTCGCTCTGCCCCAGTGTCCTGACATGCTGGAAGAGTGCTTGGGGCGCGGTTTAGGGTTTAGGTTTTTGGGGTTTGGGTTTGAGGGATTTAGGGATTAGGGTTTAGGGGTTTAGGTTTGAGGGGTTTAGGGTTTAGGGTTTGGGGTTTGGGGTTTAGGGTTTGGTGCTAGTGTAGGGGCCCAAATAATTACCATTACTATTTCGGGTGCTCCTTATTAAAATTATAGTTTAATGGGCCCAAAAGCCTATTGAAATTATGAAGGCCCCTTTCTTCGGGCCTGTCCTCTTAGGTCTTAGGGAACTATAGAACTTAGGCTTAGGGATTTGTATGGTGTAATTGGCCTTTAGAGATGCGTAAGGGCTTAAGGCTTGGGGTTTGGGGAGCAAGGTGTAGTTGGGTTCCAAGGGCTTATGGCCTTCAGACAACCTTACAGTTAGGTCCTCAAGACTCTTGCTCATTGACAGCTGTGACTGATGTCACTCAAATTTGGGCCCTGTTCGGACTGGGGTTGGTACTGAATTGAAGGCTGCACGCTACGCCATAGGTTGCCTACTCGTATGAAGTTGGCGAAGGATGAACATCGACAACAGAGCTCATAGTTTTCTACAGTAACGATTTGCCGTGTCTTCTTGGGATTAGGATTGCAAAGGCCTTCGGTCATACTTGTCCAGATATCGGTATTGCTAGTCGTGGAGTTTAACTTTGTTGGGGCGTGTCCTGTAGCGGCCTTTATAATTAGTATGGGGTTTGGGGTATAGTATATACTATAAATACAAACAGGGAACGAACCCCCAAAACATTATTATTTTGGCTCCTATAATATTGGGTGCTTTTGGGAGATGAGTGTTGCCAGGGTTGCCCCGACTCGACCTATGCTCTTCGTTGCAGTTCTATTTCGCAAAAGAAACTACAACGAAGACTATGGGGTAGAGTAATGTAGGGGCTGAATAAGTACCAATACTGACCTAGTCTAATGATTCAGGCCCCTACCCTAAGGGTTCATGTACCCAAATAGTAGATACTGTGGCCCCAAATTACCCACATAGGGACTACTTTAAGGCCAAAGTATCTACTATTTGGATACATGGACCCTTAGGGCTATATCAGCTTCGTGGTTTGAAAGATTCTTGTGTTGCTCTGAGACCGGCTTGTAGGACGCAGGCGTTTCAGCCCGCCTCATCTTTACCCTGAACCCTAGACCCTAAACCCTAAACCCTAAACCCCCTAAAGCTGAAGCTCGCGCAACTCGGCTCTCCGGTCACACCCTAGTTGAAAGCTTAAACCTCCGCCAGCAAGCCCTGAGGAGTATGAAAGCCTCACTCTACCATAGCAGTACATAGGACCCTTTGGGTGAACCAAAGGATAAAGACACAAAGCCCGTCCTGGGGTCGATGAGGGTACTCACCATCAGCGCACTCTCCATGAGCACGACATAACCTCAGCTAACTGGCTAATGGTGGGGATCGTCGGGGCCTTCAGAAGTAGAATCTGGTTTGGTGGCATGCCATATAGTATAAGTTTCAACGAGGAGCCCTGGGGAATACTGGGCTGGAATTTTTTCAGGACCGTAGATTACAGCTTCTCGGGCTTACGGTGCAGGGCTTTGTGTGTGTTTTGGGTTGAAGGTTGCGAGCTTCAGGTTCATGGTGCAGGTTCCGATGGTTTACCTGAACCCAATAAAGCTTAGGGTTCCTGTTCCTTTCCCTGATTTCATTATTCCCTTGTATAATTCCCTGAAAAGGTAGGTCATTCAGGGTCCAGGTAGTGGTTGACTAGTCATGGTGGACCCCTCTGCAGGTATTGCGAAGTGCCATGCTCGTCAGTCAGCATGGAGTGGCTACATAGTACAGGTAACCTTATACCCTGAAGTTTTGGAACACTTCAAACACTTCCTCTTTTAGGATCCACGGCTCCTTCACCTTGTAGAGAAGGCGTGCATGGTTAAGTGCTTCTAAACCCTAAATCCTAAATCCTTACCCCAATGCCCAAGCCCTAAACCCTGAACCCTAAACCCCTAAACCCCTAAGCCCCAAACCCTAAACCCCCAAACCCTGAACCCTAAACCCCGAAGCCCCAAACCCTAAACCCTAAACCAACCCTGAACCCTACCTTTCTCATGCAAAACCCTACGACCTCCAGCATGCGGCCCTTGCCCCTTGAAGCTCAAAGCGTTCCTCTTATGAAGTTTAGGGTTTAGGGTTTAGGGTTTAGGGTTTAGGGTTTAGAGCCTTCGAGCTTCTTGTAATCTCTTCTAGTGTCCTGGAGCATCTTGTAGTGTCTTGTAGTGTCTTAGAGTATCTTGTAGTGTCTTTTGGTAGCTGGTCGTGTCTGATAGTATCCTTTAGTACCTTATAACATCTTAGGGTATCTTGTAGTAATATATGTATATATACAGATATACATATATATATATACAGATATATAGATATATAGTGTTATCTACTACAGTATCCTGCAGTATGATAGACCCCAAAACCTTTTTCTGATCATGAAGCCCCCCTGTGTCACATACCTTAATCCAACCATCAACTTGAAGAGCATGAACAATAAATCAGAAGCACTCAAGTCGATGGCTTTTAATTATGCCACATCATGCCACGCCATACAGTGTCAACACAGTCGTCAAGAGCTGACGACTTCGAAGCTGCGACTTTTCAGGTAATGATTATGACGTTTATGAGTTAGAGGTTTAGGGTTCGCATCATAAGCTAGAGTTTAGGAGTTTAGGGTTGGAGGGTACAGGGTCTGGGTTCCAGCGTTTGTTTCGGAAACGACCCTAGACTAGAACCGTGGCAGCTGTTTTTGGGGCTGGGCCCCTTATGGCGCAAGATTTTTTCGAGTAGCTGCTGGTCTGTGCCCCGACTACTGAACTAACCTGAACCAAAGAATAAACCCAAAGACCCTAAACCCTAAACCGTCCCTAAACACTACAAGCCCTACACTCTATATATATATATATATATAAACACATGCGCAACACTGCCGGAGAGCGGTCGTCAGACTTGTGAACTCGATCCATGAGTCGATTGTGCCTGGTTGCAGGTAATATCGGGGCCTTAATAATAAGAACGGGGTTGTGGGGCATATCATACTAAAGTTCTAATAAGAAACCACCAAAGTAGTATAGGTAATTATTTGGGCCCCTACATTACCATCGGGGCCTTAACCATCAGAATCAGGTTCCTCCTAGCTTTGCCTTTGCAAGGGGTCTACAAAGGTTGCTAGAAGGCGTCTATGATAAACCTGCCTTGACAATCAGAACCAAGTTAAGGGTCTACAAGGTTGCTAGAAGGTTTCTATGATAAAGGGGCCTGAACAATTAGACTAAGGGTTTTAAAATTTTGGGTGAAACATTTCGGGCTCAGTAGACGCAGCTAACAGAAACATTTTGTTAGGGCTCCTACAGCCTGACTAACCATCCCTAAACCCTATGAACTAAATCTATATATATATATATGTATATATATATATATATATAGGGTCCCGTACTGGGGGCCCGTTCAACCCGGATATGGGATGATTGAATATCGCTGTAGCCCCGCGGTCTTCCCCAATCGGGCTCACCGACTAGAGCGAATGAGAACAGGATTGCGGACAAGGTATACTTCTACTCATGCTTGCACAGGCAAACACATGCGCGTGCATGTGTGTGTGTGTCTATCTACTTTAGCTGTCTCTCTAGTTGTCAGTTTATATACCGATATATCCATGCTATATCTAGCTAAGTATTCTTTCATCCATCCCTATCAATATATCGATCCATCTACCTCTATCTCGTTGCCTATCGATCGACGTGATATACTTATCTGTAGGTATTGTCTGCCTATCTATCTATCTATCCATCTATCTATCTATCAATCTAGCTATCTCTACCTATCTATCTATCCAACGATCTAACGATCTGTCTACCCATCTGCCTATCCCTCCATCAATCTATGCATATCTCGTGCTTGCTTGCTTGAGTTGCTTACGTGTGTCTTGTTGTATATATTATGTCTGCATGTCGTTCATTCTTTGTGCATATCTATGCACCTATTATTCGTGTTTCTTGCTTATAGATTTCCTTCGTTGCTTGCATACATACGAAGAAATATGTAGGCATGTATGCATGCGATGTGTGTGTGTATGTATGTATGTATGTATGTATGTATGTATGTATGTGATACATTTATACAGACGACTTGGTAGAAACTTTGGGGCACCGCGCACGACCCAAAGACTCCCAAGATTGCTCTTCATTGTGTTTAAAGTGTATCAATGAGGGATATGTAGTAGAACATCCAGGCGAGGAGCATGTCCACGCGAACTTTCAGAACGGTGCCACCTGAGGGATTTCGGGCTCTCGGTTCGAAGCTACAAATGTGGTTGGGTTCAAGGCTGTGGTTTCAGGGAGCAGGTAGCCATGCAACCGAGCCCGACTCTTCGTGACGGCTCGGGTTACAGTGGCCCCAGAACACAACATGTCTGCGACCGGCAGTGGGATAAGCCACATATCAGAACTGCACGAGACAGTCTCAGTACGTGTTTGGGCTTGCAGCCTCAAGGTTCTTCGGGAGTGTGGTGGCAAGCTGCTACGAGGTCAGGCTTGATGGTCGCCTGCTTTTACACGCCACGGGGCATGCAATAGAAATACAACTCGGCGAATACTCGACATAACCTCAGACTCTAACCGTGCAAGCCGACGTTCCTACTGTAACTGCATGGTACAGCATGTGTTGTATTCGATACTGAATCATGTAATATATGTTGTTGCATGCTTTGTACTAAATGAAGCTATATATTATAGTATATATTATAGTATATGGGAAGGTCTACCAGACCCCGTCAGGCAACCAAGATGAAACCCTCCTTTGCTTTCGTGGCCTTCCCTAAACCCTAAAACCCTGCAGCCTGAAGTCCAAAGCTAAACCGAAGTCTGCAACTCCGTACAATCTCATTTAGCCCCCAATAACCGGAAACCTCGACATGTCTACTGATATATGAACGTAAAGTAGCATCCATGACGCTAACACCATTCTTGTGCTCATAATTTCTTATCAACGTCAGTGATATACGTATTATGCTTCAAAGTTGGAACCTGCGGCTCTAGAATCGCTGCGACTGGACATGATGGATGAGCATTTCCTAAACCCTAAACCCCTAAACCTAAACCCTAAACCCCAAAACCCCTAAACTCCTAAACCCCTAAACCCTAAACCCCTAAACCCTAAACCCTAAACCCTAAACCCCTAAACCCTATATCCGATTTGGCCA